TTTTCTTCTCTCATTCAACCATTTGATGCCTTCTCTTCTCTTCCTTTTTTTTCTCCCATTCAACCACCTGACGCCGTTCCCTTCCCTTTCTCCTTCCTTTCAGATCCATCTTTTTCCCCAAACCCCCCAAAACTTTAACCTTTAACTGTCTATTGACCTCACCCCTTTCCTAAGAGGCCTGTAGGGGGCGTGCATAAGCGCACCAACGCGCCTCCCCATCCCTGTCCTATTGTTTCTTTTTATTTTTCTTATATGTATCCATTTCATGTATTCATAACTATGTTTATACTTATTATACCTGTTATCTAATACTTGCTTGACAAATAAAATAAATAAATACCATAAAAATAAAAATCCATTTGATCCATCCTCTCCTCTCCTCTTCCTACACCCCCCCCTCCCGGGCCCTTTTATTCGGGACGCCTCTCCCGGGGCATCCCTTCTTCTGTGGGGGGGGGGCAGACCACTTTGTCCCGCCTCGCCTCCTTGTCTGCCCCCTCGCCCGTCTTGCGCCCAGCCTCCCCCTCGCCCGGCCCCGCTCCCGGGCACGGCTCCTGCTGCTTCCTTCCCTCCCTCCCTCCCTCCGCCGCTCCCAGGCTGCTCCGCTGCTCGCCCGGCGCGCCCCCGACGCCTGCCCGCTCCTCCTTGCGCCCGCTTCTGCCTGCCTCCTTGCCGTCGCCCGGCTCTCCGCAGCCTCCCGCGGGCAGAGAGAGGCCCCGAGCGCCTTTTCCCTTCTCCAGCAAGGACCCCCACCCACCCACCCACCACCGCTTCTCCGGCCGGAGCGATGGCAGCGAGCGCCGCGCTCTTGCAGCTGCTGGCCGCGGCGGCGGCCCTGGCGTGCCTGGCTGCGGCGGCTCCTTCCTCCTCGCCGCCGCCGCCGCCGCCGCCTTCCGAGGACGCCGATCCCTTCGCCGCTCAGCTGGGAGACATCTCGGCTTGCCAAGCGCGCTGCGCCCAGAGCCTCCGGCAGAGCCCCGAGGCGGCCCCCGCCAAGGTAGCCGTCGCCGCGGGGAAGGGGATGGAGAGAGAGAGAGAGAGAGAGAGGGAGGCTGGGGAAGGGCGGGGATGGCGGAGGGACGGGGGAGAATATTTGCAAATCCGATTTTAAAAAGCCCCATAGTCGAATAATGGGGGGCGGGGGGGGAGAGAGGAGAGACCACCCTCCAAAGCAATCCCCCCTCCCTTCGCTTCTAAGAGGGGGGGGAGGAAATGACACCCCCACCCCCACCCCGCAAAGCATCCATATTTCGGGATCTGTTATTTTTCTGGATCCCGCATCCATATTTCTGGCCTCCGCATATCCGCAGCTACCTTGGAGTAGCTTGTGGGCTGCACGCAGCAAAAGGCAAGGGGAGAGAAGCTCAGAGCGGCATTGGGGCGACGAAGGTGCGTGCAAAATGGGGGTGGGGTGGGGGGGTGGACGACACACACCGCTAAGCTGTCTTTTTCCTTACAGAAAATGGGGGGGATAAAAGCGCCCATTTCCCCCCCCCCCCCGCCCCCCCTCTTAAGAAAGGAAGGCAGAGCTGGACAGATCTGCAAAAATTGAGATATTTTTTTTTAAAAAAATAATACGCATTTTCCTTTATAGCTTGGAATACTTATTTTACCCAAAGGTATAATTCTGCAGCCTGCCTTTCTTTCTTTCTTTCTTTCTTTCTTTCTTTCTTTCTT